CCCAACTAACTTCAACAGCGGCCTTATCTTCGAGGGCTTGATAATCTCTTTCACATTGCTCAATCTCACTTCTAAGCTCTTCATTCTCATTCAAGGCAGCATCATAAGAAGCCAAGGGGGCAAGAGAACTCTCTAAAAACTGAACTCTGTTAGAAGATACTCGGAGATCTTCTAGGGCTTGAGTGAGTGTTTGAACAAGCTCTCCGGCATAAACTTCTTTCTGGTTCAGTAGTGCCTTCAGACCCTTAATTTTTTTAGTGGTCTTAGAAAGTTGCTCAGCAAATGAAGATTCGAGAAGGTTTTTGTCTTTGCCCGCCTGATTAGATGAGGCTTTCTCAACTGCCAATTCAGCTGCCATTACTTTCACTTGCTGCTCCAAGGTACACTTTTCTTCTTCCAAGACTTCTTTCTCAAGTTGAAGACTATCTAACTGCTCCTTCCAGTTGTCTGCCTCGATATGATAATCGTTCATTAGCTGCTCTGTATGGACGATCCTCTTCATCATCTCCGTACCAATGAGGTTGATCTACATAATGAAAATGAAAATATGATGAAAAGGAAATCACGTGCGAAATAGAAAGCTAAGGCTTATACCTTTAAAGATGAATGTACGATATCGTTCATCCATGTTAAGGAACTGTGGCTCTCCAATTTTGACTTCTCAATTGGGCTAATCAATGGTTTCAGCAATACATCAATGTGGCCGGATTTCTTCAGAAGATTACCATCCTCAGGAACCTCGATGGTAACTTTTTTCATTGCCCTACTAGAGGAACCAACTTCAGTATGAGAAGTTGTAACAGTAGGGATAGTCGAGGGAGTCAAAATAGCCACAGGCGGAGCAGTAGCAGTAGAAACAGGTGCGGGGAACTGAGGTTCAACTGAAACAGATGCGAGAAAAGAAGCAAGAGGCGTTTCCTCGGGAACAAAGACGAAGTCTTCATCAAACCCACGAGAAAAGAGCTGTTCACTAGAGCTACGGGGTGCGGCAAGCATCTCATCATCAGAACATACTAAGGTAGCACCTTTAGTCTCGTGCATGGGAGCAGAAATGGGAGGAGGAGTAGCTTCATCATCTGAAATGATACGTCTCCTAGATCGAGACCTACGAACCAACGAGCTCTCCTCCCGCTCCTCTTCACTCTCGGAACTGTGTGCTCTATGAGCTTTTCTTTTTAACGAGGAACTCAAGATTATCTCTTGAGCCATTGACAGAGAGAGTCTCGAAGCAGTAATCAATGCGGCACTCACACCCCGGATGGAAAACCCTAGCAAAGAAAAGGGTTAATAAGTGACAAAGTAAGTATAGAAGCAAGGAAGAAAGGGGAAGAGAGGGATACCATGGGTCTTTACTTTCCATCCAAACCTGTTAGAAAGGTATTTCTAGGACCTCTCTTCCATAGGAGCAACGGTTAACAATTTTTCTACCCAACCACGGAAATCTGCAACTTCCTTAACAGCTTCCATGGTTGCTAAAAAAAGAAAAATGAAACAGCTATGAGGTTGAAGGTTCTTCACAAAAAGAAGAAGAATAAAAAAATAAAACGAAACTTACGTGTAAAGTTTCACATCTCTGGGAAGGGCATGTTCTCTTCTCCCACTAACCCACTTGTGGGAGCAGAAATGAATCGAGCATACCAACCACGATCCTTGTCATCTTCAGGGTTCACTAAAACCCTCTTACTCCTGGCCACAAGGGTAAACACCCAAAACGAAATAACTTAGGGGAGTAAAGATGAATCATATGATAAAATGTAAAGGGTATAGAAGCCAAGCTTGACAAGTATCTAAGGCATGCCACAGCCCCCCACACAATAAGACCAATCTGTCCTAAACAAACGTTGAAGAAACGACAAAGCTCTATGATGACTGGGTCAAAGGTAGTCTAAAACCCAATGTAAAGGGATATGTATACACAAAAGAATAACCAGCTTTGAACGAGGTGATCCTCTTATTTGGATTAGGAACTATAATTGGGAAGTCATGTTTCCAGTGACAATCTCTCCTCACAAGGAAAATCAAACCCTCAGTAATCTGGGAAGGATAAACATCAGCACGATCATGAGAAGACATGGAAGTGACTTGATTTCTAATCGATTCTCTATCAGTAAAGAAGGAAAGTTCAGCGGGAATAATCTCATCAACAGTGGGTTCACGAAGTGGTCACTAAAATCCTTACTTCTAGTAGAAGATCTATGTGAAGAAGAAGCCCTAGTTCTAGAAGACGACGGGGTAGTGATACCGGGTTGAGAAGAAGAACCACAGATAGAAATAGATCCTAAACTACGTAACCGGCCACCTCTTCTACTTCTAGTAGGAGCTGACGAAGGGGGAAGTTCATCCACTATAACAACTTTGCAGGGATCAGGATTTGAAGAAACCATAGTTTTGTGAAAGTAAAACGTGATGAAGAATGAAAACTATAAAGAACAAGAAACACCGCAGGAAGTTTTTCGTAAAAGTAAAGGCAAAGAAGGTATTTATATAAAGAAGCAATCGTCATGTAAAGGGGGTCATGAAGGAAACGCCATGATTAAACAGTCACTTCATGACTGATACAACTGCCAAAAAGCCCTAAAAATCGCTAAAGAGTCGCAGATCCAATTAACGGAGGCCACGTGGAAGATGCATTAAATAGAAGTGACATACGATGCGTTGGTTCTAGAGAAGACGTAATGGTACGTGGGAAACGGCAGCAAAAATTTCCGCCATAAATACATACCACTTCCCAAATATTCAATTGCAGAATATTCGGCAAGTGTGGGGACTATCTGTATTGGTAAAAATAAATATTACACGTGGATTTATATGAGTGGATGATATGACAAGACACGTGGATCAGTAAGAAAGCGACAGCTAGAAAGATGCATTAAAAGAGGCACGAGTCGTAATAGATACGAGCAAATCACCGACGAGAAGAGAAGACAAGGTCACTCAAGTTTAAACGATTACTTGAAGAGGTACCGACGGAATGAATTAAGACATTAAAAGGGAAAGATTCACGAATCATCAGTTACTGAGCATGAATGAGGTCGGACGTTACAGAATCTTTATAAACAGTTACGATTACCAATTATAACGTCTCATTAATGTCACTAATGCTCATAATGATTCGGTCATAAAAGGGGAAAACGTTATACTTATAGATTCCTATAAAAGGGAAAGAGATATCATTTGTACGGACACGTTATGATTACTATTGCAATACAATTACTTTCTTTTGCTTACTATTGGCTACTTTTGCTACTTCATACTTTAATTTCCTTCCTTGTCATTAAATAAATATAGAATTTCTTGATTATCAGTAGCCCGAGTACTTCTTAAAATAAACTTTGACCGAATTACTCAATTTTTGGTGAAACACTGGAAATATAGATTCCTTAGAGCATAAAGAAAGAAAATCTTTATTTAATCAGTGGAATGTGGCAGGAGCACTTGGGTTCTAACTTCTGAACTTTGAAACTTTCCGCGGTGGGAAGTCTTGTGGATCAGGAAGAAAAGATCTTAATTCCCTCACCATATTTTAATATATTGGCTTTACTAACATGTCAATCATGTTACTCAAAAAAACCGATTAACTAAGACTACCAGTTTGGCCTAGTATATACACGTTAAATGTGTAATTAATCTAACAATTCTTGAAGATCAAAAACATACTTTTGATCTGGAAAAGATCCAGATAGCGTGTATAAGTGGATTTCCACGGTATCACTCTTGGAATCCTTTTCATGTCCCTTCACGAGCTTGTTGCGTGGAAGACTTAAAAACGACCAAAAGACCTTTACTTGCTGAGAATACTAATATATAAATCTAACTTATATAGTACAAAAATCGATTTGTGTATATCTATCAGTTGTAACAAGTAACTTATCATCTTTTAATTTGTGGGTAACCATTAATTATATTCTATATGAAAATTACTTGTAATTGAGTTTTTACGTGATGATCTAATAGTGTTAAAAAATAAAGTCTACAGCATTAGATTGATACGTAATACTCCAGTATACAACATTGCCAGCTGTTTGCACGTCTCAAAGTCCATTACGAGTATAATATTTGGCAGGCATGTCCAAACTACTTGAATTGATCCTCCGATTTTCCCATGTTTGGTTGGCTTAAATATTTTGGAAAATATTTTCCTTATCAACTCATTTTCCTTCAATTGGAGGAAAATATTTTCCTTATCAAGAGAAGGGAAAATATTTTCCAAAACTCCTTCTCAACCTTCCCCACCCTATCCCCAACCCACCCCCACACCCACCCACCCAAACCCCACCCCACCTCTCTCTCCAAAAAGGATTTATTTTTTTAAAATTTCAGTTGCCCACCTCCCCCCCCCCCCCCACCCCGCACAAAAAAAATGTTTTTTT